GGGGTTTCTTGCACAAGAAACCCCTATGGCTAAAATGGCCATCAGAGCTATCTTGCACAAGAGCGCATCGACACTGCCATGCATGCTCTTGCACAAAAGCACATGGCAGTGTGGACTCACTCTTGTGCAAAACAGTTCTTGCACAAGAAGCTTGCAGCGTAGACATAGCCCAAGTGTTTATATCTCTAAGGTTTCTACTGTACATTCTTCCACCATCCTGTAATGGCTCAATTTCTCATTGGCTACATCTATATCACCAAGTCTTGCAGAAAAACATATGCAAATGAGGCACGGCGATGACTACTGTCGTGCCTCATTTGCATACTTATTGAGTCATTATTTTTGCGCAAGGGGCTTTTGCGCAAGAAGAAGCAGTCTATACTGCTCCTTCTTGTGCAAAAACCCCCTCTTGCAGAAGAGCTGTTCTGCCTGAAAATAAGCGACAGAACAGCTCTTGCACAAGAGAGGATTTTTGTGCAAGAAGGAGCAGTATAAACTGCTCCTTCTTGCACAAAAGCCCCTTGTGCAAAAATGGTATTTCATTTGCATATGTTCTTGTGCAAGACTGGGCAATGTAGACATAGCCTAACACTCTTCTGACATCAGGGTTGGGTTTCATAAGCCAGAGCTATAAAGACTAACCCTAAAGTAACCGTGGTACTGACTGAGGTTTGTAAAATGATGGAGTAATAGCCTTTACAGTTGACAATCACATATTCCTTGTAGCAGGCAAACTATAGGCACATGCACCATTCAGGAAGCTGTTCTTTCAAAGGCAGATAATTTAGTAGGGCAAATATAGTACCAGTCTATAAAAAGGAAAATAAGAACAAACTGGGGAATTACGGACCAGTCAGCTTGACTTCATTACCATGGAAGGTAATGGAGCAAATCATACTATATATTTTAGGAATGTGCATCTGTCTGTTTGTTCAAGAACACCTCCTAAATAGTAAGACCACCAAATTTGGTATGCAGCTTCCTCTTATCATAACTTAAAGAAAGGTAAGGGTTTGGTTGTGATAAAACAATGGGATGGGCCTAGAATTTGATTGTTTCTCATAAAATGGAAAGAGTGGGGTCCAGCAGGAGGGACAGTTATACTGCAGAATGACCACCGGAGGGCAGCAAGGGTCCAATGATGGCAACTGGAACAGCTATAACCCCATTGGGCCAACAGGGGGTCGAGGTGGAGAAATGGACAGCTCTCTACTATATATATCAGAGAGTTTGTTTGTGTGTCTGTCCCTCAGTCATGGGACATGCACCTTTTCCTGGCTGTGCCTGCTGTAGCTACAGTGGCCATGTACAGGCAATTCTCATCTGGCCCCAAGCTGCTGCTCTGAGAGGGCTGGGGTTATCCTCTCTCTTTCTCTCTCTCTGGGGTAGTGCATACTGAACCCCTCCTCCACAGCCCCACCCCAAGACACTGATTTAAATTAAGACAAACAAAACTTATTTGAATTAAGGACCTGAGCAACCCTGGGTCAATCTTCCAGTAATCAATACATTTGCAAACAGCTAGAAGATAAGGTGATAAGTAACAGCATGTATTTGTCAAGAACAAATCATACTCCCTCAAAAAAAGCTACTAGTTTGGTAACAAGCCTTGTGGATAGGCTGTAAGTGGTAGATGTGCTATATCTGGACTTTAATAAGGCTTTTGATACTATCCAACATGATCTTCTCAAACAAACTAGAGATGATCTCCTCAGACAAATGCCTTGATGAAGCTACTATAAGATGCATAACTAGGTGGACAACCATTCCCAGAGAGTAGTTATCAGCAGTTCATAGTCAAGCTGTAAGGGTATATCAAATGGGGTTCCACAGCAGTGTTCCCTCTACTTTTTTTGTCCATGTGTGGAATGAATTTTGTGTGTACCAATATGGAAATTATCGCCTCCACTTTGGTGCACATAAAGTTCATGGATGATCTGTGGGTGGTGGGGACAAGAAGTTCAGAATGTGGGATGGAGCTTAGCTTTGTTGGGGGGGGATGAGGGTTCTGTTTGGGGGTGCAGGCTCTGTGGGGCACCTGGGGTTTAAGGTTTGGAGTATGGCAGGGGGCTCACGACTGGGTCAGAGAATTGTAAGGGTGAAGGCTAGGGGTAGGGATGGAGGGGTTTAACTACAGATTCCCCTGGGAGAAAGGGCTCCCCCAGTCCCCTCTCACTGTAGCAGCTCCAGGCTAAGTGAGAGGTGCCTCTCTGGCAGCAGTTCCAGCTCCGATAAAGCTGAGTTGGGTCTGGAGGAAAGACATCTCTCTCTTAGCTACAGCAGGTCTGTGCTGCTGGAGATGGCAGAGAGAACTTTGCAAGGCCCCTCTTCCCCCCGCTCTGTCTTGCAGTAGCTCCCTGCTAAGTCATGGAGGCATGTCTCCTTCAGCTCTGGTGGCTCCCTCCTGGGGCCAGAGCAGCACACCTCTCCTCCGGCCCCTGCAGGGAGCTGTTGCAGCCAGGGGAGAAGGCCTCGCTGGCCACAGCAGCTCTGTGTGCAGCAGCCTTGCTCAGGACATATTAGAAGGAACTCTATTCCCCAGAGATCAGTCTTGTGCCTGGTTCTGTTCATTATCTTCATAAGTGATTTAGATAATGACATAGAAAGTTCATGATGTTTGTGGATACCACCAAGTTTGGAGGGGTTGCAAGTGCTTTGGAGGATAAGACTAAATTCACAATGACCTAGGCAAACTGGAGAAACAGTCTCACGTAAATAGGATGAAATTCAATAAGGACAAATTAAAAGTACTCCATTAGGAAGTAAGTCAATTGCACACATACAAAAGGGGAAATGACTGCCCAGGAAGGAGTTCTGTGGAAAGGCATCTGGAGATTATAGTGCTATATTACTATAGTACAAGCTAAATATGAGTCAAAAGTGTAACACTGCAAAAAAAAAAAAAAAAAAAGCAAAAAAAAAAAAAGAGTGAATATCATTCTGATATGTTAGTAGGAGTGTTATCGGCAAGACAAAAGAAGCAATTCTTCCATTCTCCTCCAGACTGATAAGGTTTCATTTGAGTATTTTGTCCAGGTCTAGGCACCATATTTCAGGAAAGAGGTGGACAAATTCAAGAAAGCCCAAAGGATAGTAATAAAAATGATTAAAGATTCAGAAATCTGAGCTGGGGGGGGAGAAGGGGAAGACTGAAAAAACCTGGGTTTGTTTAGTATGTAAAGAAGAGAAGACTGAGTATGAACATAATAGTTGTCAAGTGCATAAAAGATCATTACAAGAAGCATGAAAAATTGTTCTCCTTAACCTCTGACAATAGGAGAAGCAATGGGCTTATACTGCAGCAATGGTAAGGACATCGGGGAAAACTTATTTAACATTGGAACAAATTGTCTCAGGAGGTGGCAGAATCTCCATCATAGGAGGTTTTTAAGAACAGGTTAGAAAAACACCTGCCAGGAACAGGGTAGTTATTACTTAGTGCTGCATTTAGTGCAGAGGACTGGACTAGATGACTTATAGAGGTCCTTTCCTACACTTCCATTTTGGCACACTAGCTATGTCAACCACCTGTTGGTAAAACACAGTAATATTTGCCTCACTCACCTCCACCACAAAACTGATAGTTGTCCTTCCTGTAACAGGCTAGGATACCCAGATTCTAGATGGCAATAGCAAGCAGCTGCTAGACTGGCATGGCCTACTGCATTTGTATTAGGAATGTGAATGATTAACCTTACCGGCTGATGCTTACTGCTTACAGTTAACTAGTGGCCCACCCAGAATGGAGCACCTGCTGTCACACCACAGGCGGGGGGAGGGCAGCCCAGCCAGGCCTGCTGTGCCACTCCATGGGCAGGGGACCTGCTGCAGCCTGGTCAGGCCTGCCGCCCCAGGCACAGGTTTTGCTGATCCTCGAGCAGGGCTTCTGGGTGCTCAGAGCACACAGCAGAACTGGCTGATGTATGTTTATCAGGGTCCTCCGGAGGCAAGCAGCCCCAGACCTTGCCTACAGAGCTGGGCTGCACAGCACTGTCTCTGGCTGACCTGGAACAGATGGCAAGAGGGGAGCAAGGTAGGGGAACTAGGACAAGAGGGGAGGGCAGAGTGGAGGGAGTGTAGTGAGACAGGGCATGGTGTGGGGGAAGTGGTACAGAAGATGTGGGCAGGATATGAGGGAGGTTGGGTGGGGGGGAAGTAGAGAGCTGGGCAGAGCAAGGTGTGGGGTGGACTGGGTCAGGCAGGCTGAGCAGGGGCTGGGGGATGAGTAGAGTGGGAGAGCTGGGCAGGGCAGGGCGTATTTAGGGAAGTGTGACTGAACAGGGTATGTGAGGAATGAGGTGGATAGGAGGGGAATTGGGTGGTCTGGGCAGGGCACATGGATAAGTGAAGGAGGAGCAGGACAGGCAGTGTCGGGGTGCAACAAGGTTGGGTAGAGCATTGGGGGAAATGAGGTGGGTTGGGTGTGGGGGGCAGAAGGCTGATCTAGAAGTGGGGGAGTGAGGTGGACTGAGAGGGACATGGCAGGGTGTGGAGGTAATGAGGTGAGCTGGGTGTGGGAAGGGCACAGGCGTGGACTTGGACTGAAATTAGGTTAACTAGGCAGGGCTTGTGAGGGAGCTGGACTGGGTTTGAAATGGGAGAGGCCAGGAACCTAAGCTAGGAGGCATGTGAAGGATGGAGGCTGGTGTGGCAGTGGGGAGGGAGAGCCAGGTGCAGGGCTAGTGTGGGAGTGAGATAAAGGGCAGGGAAGAATATGTGAGGAAATGGGGCACAGGGGTTTCTAGGAGAGGGATGCAGCAGCCTGGGCTGGGTTTGAAATGGGCAAGGTGAGGAGCTAAACTGGGACTGAGATCGCGTAGAGAGTCTGTGGAAGTGGGGCGGGGGGAGAAACGGGCAGAGTTGGTAATAGCAGGAAGGCGCGGACAAGGGCTAGGCTGGGTGAGCGATGGAGGCTGGAGACCATGAGGAAAGGGCGGGAAAGCTCGTTGAGGAAAGCAGGGGGGAGGGGAGCCGCACTCCTGGCTTGAGGGACAGTTGGCGGGGCCGCCAGTGCCAGGCAGGCGAGGGAACCGCCCGGCGCGTCCTTAACTCTCCGCCCAGCGCCCCGCCCCGCTCCACTCCCGGAGCCTGGGAATAAAGTTCAGGGCCGGGCACGGGACGGGAACTCGCAGCGCGAGCACAGGGCGGCTCCCGCCTGCTCCGAGCGCCCGGCCATGGCCTCCAGCGAGCTGGCCCAGAAGCTGCAGCGCCGGCTGCTGCTAGAGGAGAGCGACCCGCAGCCCGCGCCCGGCGGGGAGGAGGAGGCGGCGGCGGGCAGGGGGGCCGGGCAGGAGGAGGACGAGGAGGAGGAGGAGAGCAGGAGCTCCATGCTCGCCAGCGCCGACTCGGAGCTGGGGGCCAAGCTGAGCCGCAGGCAGGACATCAACGAGGGCACGGCCCGGCCCCGCCAGGCCAAGGTCTTCAACCCCTACACCGAGTTCAAGGAGTTCAGCCGGCGGCAGATCAAGGACATGGAGCGGATGTTCCGACTGTGAGCAGCCCCCCCCCCCTTCCCCGGCCCCGGGCGCCGGCCCCTGGCTAGCCGCGGGGGGTGCGAGTGCCCGGGGGCAGCCCCGTGCCCGGCTGCTGGCTGGCTGAGGTGGGAGGCTCAGCCTCCACCCCCGTCTCGCCCCAGTGCGGATGATGAGAGACACTGGGGGGGAGAGAGCGGGTGGCCCCGGGAGTCGTGTTGGTCCCGCTCTGGCAGACGGAGCGGAGCGCGAATCCAGGGTTTCAGACGCGCGTTCTTGCGTTGCAGCCCTTCGCCCGCGGTTGATGGTGCGAATGAATGAAGTTAGGTTGCTGTGACTCCGGGAACTGGTAGGCTCGATTGGGCTGGTGCTGTCTGCGGAACTTAATGCGTCGGACACCGAAACTTTTCTTCCTTCCCCTCCCCCGCATGCCACCGGTTGCTGCTTCGGCTCTGAATCGTGTCTGATTGGGCAAGTGTTTGCCTCTTTATCATTCCAGAAAAAGTCACATTGCAGCAGAAACACTTGACCCTTCGCTATTTTTCCCTGCCTCCCAAAGCAAACTGCAGTCATAATTAGCCTGTTCTTCTAAAAATGCCTGTCACTTGTGTTAGTAACTCAAATGGGCTTTGAAACAGGCTTTTCATGTTTGTTAACATGCTGTCTTGCAGATTCCTGAATAATATTTCATGGAATTCTTCCAAAACTTTACTGTGAACCTCATTGTAGAATGCTTTATCTTATTTCAAAAGTGGGTGGTGTACATGAATCTTTGATTGTTTCCAGGCAACTCTAGAAGTTGATGATTGAAATAAAGGGCTTCCTTAATAGTTTCCTTTTAGCTCACCTTTAAAGCCAGCTTAGTTTTATGTGCACTAACACTTTTAGTGCTTGTTGTGTCATAATTGCCCGTTCTTTTTTGTAGCTATACTGGGTTTTTCTACTCAGTCTTTTTTAAATGAAGTTGAACTTTTACAAACGGTTGTATGGACAAAATGGGACTGCTGAGCCTCAAACAGCACTAACCCTCCTTTTGAGTGGCTCTTGACACAGACAGTATCCCCCATTCACTTTTCCTAACTTTAGTTACTCCTGGGGAAATTCCATATCATAAAAATTCTGCACACAATGCTTTACAATTCTGCTAATTGTTAAAGTAACACTATATAGTCAGGAGTTTAAATTATTTTGGGAACTTTATTTCAAAATACCTGTCAGTGAGAATGTCTATAACAATACAAACATAAGGCTATGTCTACAAACATAAGGCTATGTCTACACTAAGAGTTTCCTTGGCAAAAAATATGCTAATGAGGGACTCTTTTGCATGAGTTGTGATCTCACTTGCATATTTTCTGCCTATCCGTTCTTTTGCTAGGATTTTTATGCAGAAATAAGCAGTGTGGACGTTTCCTCTTTGAGCAAAAACCCCTTTTCCTGCAAGATCCTTATGACCCAAAGAAGGAGACTTACCAATCTTGCAGGAAAAGTGTTCTTTTGAGCAAAAAGAAAACGTCCACACGGCTTGTTTTCACGCAAAAACCCCAGGGAAAAACGGGATTGGTAGGAAATATGCAAATGAGATTGACTCATGCAAATGAGTTTTGGCATTTTTTTTGCTGAGAATTCGTAGTGTAGACATAGCCCTAGAGTGGAGTTAAACCTCTCGGACAGTGGTTGTCTAAGTATGTTCCACAGACTAATGGTTTGCAGTTGTCTTGCAGGTGGGCTGTAAGCTCAGGACTCGTCATCCTGCTGCAGCTAGGTGCTTATGCTGGTCCTCCAGCCCTGTGCTTCCCCCCACCTCCATGAGGTTGGAGCATTAACGCCAGTGTCTCGCTGGGGAGAGGGGAACGGGGAGGGAGAAGGACAGTGCAGGAAACTGTTCATCTGGAGGGTTTCCCTACTGATCCCATTAGCTGTAATTCCTTCCATTGGGAGCAGCAGGGAGCATGGAGGTAGGTGAGCACCTCTCATGCCCCTCATGTCCAGACCCCACACAGCCATTAGAGATGTAATATTGTATCCAGTTAAACTATTAACCGATAAATAATGCTTATCGGTTAATCCTACCAGCTTCATGCAAACCCCCCGTTCTCCTGCAAGTAAGTGTTTTAGTAGGCTGGCCAGCTCAGTCCTGGCTCATGACAAGTCCCAACAGCTACCCCCTGCTGCAGCTACCTTTCTGCTCCTTAGGTACTTCTAATGCAGTGTGGCAGCAGTGGATACTTGCAGCTACCTGGTGCAAGCTGGGACTGAGCCAGCCTGCTTGCTGGCCCCTTTAGGTATTTCCAGAGCTGCTTATAAGGTAATGGTGTAACAGACAATATCAGCTACACGTTTACCGGATTACATGCAATTTAACATCCCTAACCCCCATTGCCCTTACACATACCCTCCTTCTGAGAACCTGCACCCTCCCTTCCACCCAGATTTCCCCACCCCTCTCCTACACTCAACCTCCCTCCTGGCCAGACCCCACTGTTGCACCCAGCCCCTCACCTGCACCTGTCATCAAAGATGTTTGGCTGGTGATCCATGGAAAGGTCTGCGTTGAGTGGGGTAGGCTGTGGGCCAGGAAGTTTGAGAACTGTTGCTCTAGGACACCCCACTTCCTGTATCTCTGCTCTTCTCCCCTCCCCCAATATAGCTGGGGGGAGCAAACACACTCAGCACCCCCATTTTCCCCGCCAGAGGCCTGCTGCAAGGTGTCCCCTTGGCCCAAATGCTCACAGCCCCTCTCTCCAGAAGCCAGGGAAACAGGAGAAACATCCAGATGCTAGGTCCTGGAATTGCTCACAGATTCCTGCCTTCCTTGAGGATGTGCTAGGAACTGCAGCTGCTGGGAATCCTCCAGTTCCTTCCCCTCCCTCCTTGGTTTTGCCTTCTGTTTGTGAGCTGGACTCAGGTGACAGCCAACATCTTCGCATGATGTGTGGGAGGGAGGGGCAGGACGCGTCAGGGACAGTCTCCAAGACAAACACTAATTTCTGCAAAATAATGCAGTGTGTCATGGTGCAAAATTTACTTGAATCTTCCAGAAGTACTTGAGTCTTCATGTTGACCTCAACCACAATTCTACCTGTTCATCTGTTACTTCACAATTCCTTTGTTACCTCTCTCCACTCACCTGCCTTAGCCCCTTTTGTTGTCTTTGTGGAAAACTGCACCAAGGTTTTCAACAAGATTGTTTCACCATCCCCATGCAGATCCTTCCCTGCCCTCTATTGCTCTGATAATTGGTGCTTATTTGTTTGTCTCTCTTCCACCTGTACCTGTTAAGCCTTGTCCTCATTCTCAAGTCCTCCTTTCTTTTAGACATCTTCCTCTCAAAATACAAACATTCCTTGTTACCTATCCTCAGAAGCCCTTCTTGCCCCCTTAAGCTGCTTTTCCTCTGAACTCTCAGAATGCCCTGCTTACAACTGTTGTCTTGAGTTACCCTCTTGACTTTTAGTTGTATTCTTTTTAAATAACTTAGCTTTTCGCTTTGCCATCCTGCCTATAAGCAATTGTCCAATTAGTGATGGGCCTGTGTCTATAGACAAATAATCAGTTGTGACATTACAAAGAGGTATTGTAGCTGAGCAGGTGCTAGCTAGGGTGACTCTTGGGAATTTAAAGTGGAGTGTGTTAGCTTTTTGCTTATGTGCTCTCCCTGGTGGAGGGGCTTTTAATCAATTCTGTTGCTGATGCAACATTAATTGCAGTTCGTTTTCAAAATGAATAAAATAAAGGTTATTTTTGTCACCATTATTTTGAAACAAGATCCTCTGCCAGTTGAATGAGATACTTTGCTAATTAAACCAATTAGTCTGGGGGAGGCGAAGATGAGAGCAAATCCAGGTGGAAATGTATGATGAGTCTCTTCCAGCTCAAATAACAAAGGAAAAACAAACCTAATTACAACATAAAACATGAGGAATTCAGCAAGTATTGCATTCAGTTCTGGAAATGTAAATACATTTCTTGCTTATAGGTTACCTGGCTGCAAAGTTCAGCAGTTGCTGGTAGCCTTTTTCCATGGTGGCTATATTTGAAAGCTAGCTTCTGTCCACTGTTAAATTGCGTTGGATAGAAGCTTTCCTCCCTTAAATTATTGTATATATGAAGGAGATGGGATAGAAGGTTTTCAGCCTAATACTAAGGGGGCTTGTGTGCTGTACACACTGAGTGCAAGTCATTGTAGTTCTTC